CCATTGATTGCAAGTACTTTGATTTCGGCAGTGGTTCATGCCCTTTCGGAACTAGTTGTTTTTACAAGGTATGAACAACCATCAATTATTCTTGCAAGTTTATTCATTTAGGCTTTGGGACCTTGTAATACTGCAGTTACTTTGGAATTTGGATGTCATTTTTTTACTTTAAGACCTCATCTCGCATGATGGTCAATGCATTATTATGTCGCTCTCTTAAGTAACACCCTGCCTTTTCTGCGTCATTTTGGTAGAACAAGTTTTGTTCAGTGGGGATGGTGGGTTTCTCACCATTGCTTCTTTGAATTGGAGGGTAAAATAGTTAATTTACAATTGCTTGCTTGTCTGCTTCCTTCCTGCTGTTTATAATGTTATTTTGGTCAGAGGAATTCTTGATGATGTAGTAAATCTTTTCCATCTTTTACGTATCCATTTAAACAAAGTTAAGCTCAGGGGTATGTTATAGCTTTTGCATCTAAACAAAGTCTCTTCTCTGAAACGTTAGTAGCTTTTCCATCTTATGCTTTCCATTAATTGCTCTCAACTTGTGAGTAAGGTACCTTGTTGTGTACCAACACATGGTCTGGGAGGTTTATGTTCGGAGAAGAAATTTAAATATGTATTAGTAAATGTGGTATGAAAACTTGGAAGATGATAATGACCGTAAGGCAGATCCAATAATGTGTCATTGCCAGCTTATATATTTATTATGCTTATTGTGAACTCTTGTATCAATCCAGTGATAGGATCATAAGAAGAAGCTAAATTAGACAACATTGGTGAGTAATAGAATAATGTGTCATTACCAATGTATATATTTAAGTGCACCTAGAAATGCTGGAATTAGGTACAACCACACCCAAGTTTTGGATGTCTATTTCACTTTGTACATTATTATATTCATTAAATCCACTTTATAAACATATATTTTGTGGTGCATGCGAAAGGGAAGAATGTAAACAATGACAATTCAAAATTTGCCTCTTACAATTGTAGAGTGAATGACCATTTGACCAAAGCTTCAAGAGCTGGAGAAAATTGTTCTGTGATTATAATGATAAAGGTTTCCCTTAACTAAAGAAAAGATAATTATAAATACTTTTTAATACCTGGTAGACCGTTTTATGTCATCATAGACTCACAGTTGGTTATGATGCCATATTGATTGCTGATGACTTCAAAATTTTACACATTCACTAGATCCAAAATCCACTTGAAGCAGCAGCATAAATTAGTTTACTTGGATTTGTTCAAGCTAAGTGTCCTGAAAATTCAGCAGCTGTCTTCATAGTTTATTTGTTTAGGTCCATGGCTGAAAGAAGTTTTAGGTTTATTGCTTTCTTTAATGGTAGTATACGGCTATTGTTTCCATCTTGGAGAAACAATTATTGTCAGGAGAGTCAGGGCAATATTTTGCCATTTACTTGAACCTGTTTAACTCAGGACAATATTTAAGTGGATTTTTATTCTTTTGCAGTGCTCAGTATTTGATCCATATATTTTTTTCTGCTTGCTTTATTAGCTATGTATGAGAGTATATTATGATTTCTTTATCATGCTTCTTGGCTAATTGATGATAGAGCCTGACTGGGAGAACATTGAAAATTTGATAAGTCTGAAAACAATTGTCTCTTCGGATTTTAAGAATTGTCAGCACTCAGAACCATGACAGCCAGCCTGGACAACGATCTTGAGTTCTCCTTTTTGATACTTTGAGTAGTCCTGATTAAGCTTTTGTCTGGTGATTAGGCCTAACCAAGGCATCGATTTTTTGAGCGACGAGATTTTGAAATCTCTTATTTGTCTCAGTTGGCTTTGCAAATTTTAGTTTGACATCCTTCTTTCTCCTTTCTGGCTCTCTTAAAATAAAATCCAAGTCTGTTCTGGGTCTTTTTGTGTGTGTGCGTGTGAATGGAAAACACCTTTTTTTATCCGAATATGACACTAGGGTCTAGGTATTTTAGCATATTCTATATCATTTGCCAACTTAATTTTTATGAATGATGTTACAGCGAGTGTTGGTTTGTTTTTTTTTTTTTTTTTTTTTTTTTTTTAGAGAGTTAAGGATAAGTCTCTGAACTAGCTAACCTTTACTCCAGTTATTGTTAATGTGCTGCATTGTTTGGATTCTAGATAACCCAGTTTTTTGTTTTATCTCTCCTTTCAGCATTCATATCGTGATGGCAGTCTTGAGGAAGTTGTGCTACGTCATCTAGGGGCTGCTGATGGTGAAACTGTAATAGCAAAAAATATTAGGTGAGGAACTTTCCCTTCTTGAATATCAATTTGAAAATTTGCCTGTGTATAGCTAACTTTGATTTAAATGATTTCAGCCTTGCGGACTTCCTCAGAAATTTGCATATAAGCTGAACCAAGTTTGGGAAAGTTTCCAGTGTGAGTGCTATTTTTGGACTACATATAATTACCTAATTGTTAATGCAAGATTTACTGGACTATGATGTATGGGCAATCCAGTAGACTGGCACCCTTTGAATCTTTTCATGCCCCACCATAACCTTTGAGAAACTAAGTTGCCATTAACATATAGAACTCTACTTGTAAAGGGAAAAAATGAGGGCAACTCTGGAAATGCAGTATTTAGGTGTGCTGTTGAAAAGAATTAAGGATTATAGTTCATGGTGACTAGTTAATTGCCATTATATTCCTTTTACCATCTAATCACATTCTTATAGTATCTTCATCACGCACAGAGAATCAGTTTTTTGAAAGAACCTTTCTGATAGTATCATTACTGCAGTAGGATTTGACCTCCAAATTTGAGATGGCAGCCATCCCATGTAGGGTTGTGGCATTTAGGGGAAGGAGTTTGATGCTTTTGGCTTAAGAAAATCCACACCGGCCTCACATCATACTTGCAAACAATTACTGACATGATCATTTTTTGTTAACAATGTGCACTATGCCACTATTTGCTGTCAATGTGTTGGATAGGATGGGAACTTGAAGTTGTCAGCCAACACAAATTGTCTTTCTTTCTTGTCAATATCAGCTAACACCTAAGTGTTCTCTAGTTAACATCAAACACATCCTAGTGGTATTTCTTGATCCTTGCAGCTGTGTTCTGAAGGGTGGGAGGCATCATAAATTTGTAGTTGGACAACGTGCTTGCCAGATTTTTATTTGAATATTTTGGGAATTTGTCTTAATGCTGTGAGTTGATTGTGGTTCTTAACAAATTTTTCTTTCTGCTTTCAGGTTTGTATGAATCTTAAGGAAACATGTAAATTCTGGAGTATCTGAATCATAATATCAGATTCCAATGCATCTGAAGGTAAATGTATTTCTCATAACATAATATACGTTTTAGCTGTCTCTATATTTTAATCTGAGCAATACCTACCCATTCGACACAAAATGTTGATATCCTAATTGCTGCCTCATGCCTGGAATACTTCCTAATTCCATGAATTGACTGGCTAAACAATTTTTTAGCGCCTCCTTATCCTCAACAAAAGATTTCTTTTGTGCCCTGATATAAATATCTTTGGCTATTTATGACTTATGAGTGAAAACTATAAAAAGTTGAAAACAGTCAAAGTTATTTTATTTTGACCACATGAATAACAAGCGATTAAGCGAGCCAAACTTTCAAAAACAAATGTATTCCCTCATTTACTAGCTTTTGCCAAAAGTTTTAGTCTTTTAGGAGAATTATATAAAGTGTATTGGTAGGGACAGGCAAGGTGGTTTATAGGAGAATTAAAGGAGTACTTCGTAGGTTGTAAAATGAGAGAAATAATGAAGTGTAGAAGTGACCATGGGGAGTGATATAAGCAGGGACCAAATGAGAGAGAATTATAAATAAATTGGTGTATAATGTTTTCAAAAAGGGAATCGTCAATTGTGTCACTTAAAAACAACGGAGGGAGTTACGGTCCTTACGGAGTATTATTTTGCACGTCATTTTCTCTTGATGACATTTCCGGTGTTGGCCTAGCTAGTTTTCGTACTTGCATTTTCATTTAATGTGATTATCACCTAGACCAACCTTGCAGAAAAGTACCACAAGTTCTAGTTCTTTTATGTTTCTTAGTAATAGCTTTTGAACCTCGAATGGATACTAATTTGTTGATGTATTTTAATATGTAAATGCATTATATACGATAGTTAAAATATTTGCCTTGGACTCTTTTTATTATTGTTTTTTCTTGCCTTATCATTCTATTGCATACATTGTCACATCGCTGATTTTTGTGTATTGGGCGAAATCTCGTGGCAGGATCGACCTCAGGCATGATAAACTGTATTGAAATTTTACACAAATTACATAAAGATTATACATCTACAGGTCCCAATGGGTGGTCTCTCATAAAGTTTCCATCTGCAAAGGATAATGTGAATGTAAGGTTGTTGTAATACAAGTTTCAGTAAACATTATTTTGTACATGATTTTTGCCAATCATGGTCCCATTTGCTGCAAGCTGTTTTGGTTTCAGTTGTGAAATGAAAGTGTGATGTTGGATATTTATTATGTCTGGGACCGGAAATGTCTTAATCTTGTAGCAATTTTGCCTTAACAATTTACCTTCAGGTGAACAATTGGAAATATGATTGTTGTATTGAATGAAGCCATTCTTTTAATTGGCATTACTTGAGAATTATATTATCTATTTTTGTGTGAAATTATAGTTATTATGTGGCAATACAAAGGATATACACATACATTGAGATCATTGATTTAAAAACGATCAAATGTTGATTTTCAGAAGTTATACACTTATACATTGAGATAAGTATAACGATGCTCCATATTATTATATTTTTCCTTAAAAATAAAACACCAAATATTGATCGAAGTGGAAAATGTGAATAGGGTAAAATAATAAAAATAAAAATAAAACCTTATTTTTCTAATCTGTTTTTTTTTTTTTTTTTAATGAACTAAAATTAATTTTATTGAATGATAATTAATTTTACTGAATCTCAATTATATTTCTTCTTTAAAATTACTGATTTTATTGAATTAAAATTATTTTTATTGAAATGAGTATTACTATATGTAACCTTCGTATTTTTTATTTATTTATTTATTTTTTTTAAAGAAGTGTAACCTTTGTATTTAATTTTCTCTAGTATGTAACTTCTAAATAATTGCACAATAAACTACAATTTAATTTGTAATAGTTGTTGATTCCATAAATGATATGAGTAATTTGTTAAAAACTAGTTAAGCAATTACTGCATCTCTCTTTCAATTCCCATAATTTTTTTCCCATTTTTCCAATTTATTTTAAACTTAAGATAATGTTTTCAGAATTTTATTTAAATTTAAAGTTATTTTTTCATTTTGTATTTAAACAAAACCCGAGGCATCACCGAGCCACAAACTACTCCGTAGTTAACACTTGAAAGAACAGAACAATATAGCCTAAAGCTATGATCAGGGGATAGTTTTTGACAGTCTATAGTCTAACAATAAGGCTTATTACAATAAACGACGCTGGACAATGGAATACATACTGTACAACGCCATAACTCGAACTCTTAACGCTCTCAACAAGCAAGTAAAGGATAGCCAGCCTCACTGGGCAAAAACACGAAGACCTTGAGTGAAGATAGATTGGAAGTCGTCCATAATGAAGTTAGATAAAGTCAGCCCTATCTCAATTCCACTTTTCATGTGTCTGCTCTGCGTAAGAGAAATGGCTCTGGTTCCATCAATTGAAATTTCCTCTATCTTCTTTGGCTTCCCCCACCCAAAATCCGTCTCATACAGGTTCACCTTGGGCGACCCAACCACATGAATATGATCTTCAGACTTAATTAATGTCTGCCATTCAGATATCCACCTCTCAGCTCCTCCTAAAACATCACTGTCCAACATCTTCACGGTTTTCCCAATTGCATCAGCAGCTGCCAACATGCCCTCACCTTCCTTCAGTAACTCCTCCCTCATTGCTACTGCCCGTCCAAACCCAACACAGTTACCAAAATACTTAGCAGATACCTGATAGGGTAAACGGGTAATACCACCTGCAATGAATCCAAAGTACATCGGACCCTTTGCTTTGGCTTTAGTAACAAAACTGTTTTGGACCTGGGCTCTTAAGAAACAGGTCCACACAAAGGCACACGTGACGACGTAGGGTGACAAGAGAACAGGGTACGACCTGTTGAGCTTGTCACACTGGGCTTGTAACCATCGTTTAGCATTAGCAATATCAGCTGACCCCATGACAAATGTGGACTGGAGTGAGGCATGAGCAGCAGGAGGAGGAGGTAGCATCTTCATGGACACGGTTGGATGGGACTCCAACCCCAACCACTGCTCCAACATTATGGACTGAAGTCCATTAGAATCGAGAATCACAGACCTGTCAAAGGAGGCAGGGTAGGTTGGGGCAAGTGAAAAGTTTAGATGACCAGACTTGGAGAAAGAAGCCCAAGTGTAAAGGAAGTTACTGAAGGTCCTCTGATCACAAAGCACAGGATGAGAAGCAAAGCCAATGGAGAAACCAGAAGAAGGTGAGGGAAAGAATGTGATCTGAATGGCTAATAAAGGAATCGGGGAAGCAATGATAGTGGAGGATGCAATTGTTGGCAATGAGGGAACCAATTGTTGAAAGATATGAGCAGACTTGTAGGCATAGCTGCTTAAATCATTAAAATCAGCATCACACAGCGCAACAGTCAAACCAACTGAATCTGATTTCCCATTCTCCGTCAAGAAACTTAGATTATCTAGGAGAGAACGTGTAGTCGTGAGTTTACCGGCAAAGGGAAAGAAATATTGCAAGGCAGACGAGAGGGAGTGTTTGAGTCTAGGGAGGATGTTAGAACTGAATTCCAAAAAAGAAACAGGTACAGGTGCAAGTTGAAAGAAAAAGAGAGGTTGGAGTGGAGGATATTGAAGCGAAGGAATGTCAAAGAAAGTCAGAGGGAGAGAATATGAATGTGGAGTGGTGGTGGCAGGTGGGGGGGAAATGTAGGATGACTCAGTTATTTGGACTGCACTACTAACACCAACACCATTAATTAAAGACGAAGGAGCCATTACCATATACAATATTGTCCTGCTGCTAGTGTACAACCTCCAGTCCCTCCTTAGTCTTTATATAACACACGCTGGCTGATAAAAGTGATCCAGCCAGCAATCAGAGCAGTTTGACAAGAGCAACTGATCTCAAATCTCCACCTCAGAAGGGGAGGGAGGCAAGCATCAAACAAGAACCAATTATAGCAGCAACAATTTGTACTACATAGGCCTACACTAGTATAGTGGGGTATTCAACTGTAAGAAATCACAAAATCAGACATTCGTGAAACATATGATTTTTGCGTTTTACTCTCTAGAGGCAGCTAGGGAAAGTTTGAATTTGATCATTGAAAACAAAATTAAAGGGTACCTGTCCATGTTAAATAAAATAGACTAAAAGATGTGATTGGAATATTATTTATACCCTAGAACGAAGTAATAATAATGTAAACTTATAAATCATAGAAACATTATTGATAATATTATTGATATTGAATCAACTACTTTCTGGGGAGCAATCTACTTGACTCCTTTACATGACATCCTCATAACATATTTATATCATGGCTTCCACTAAATGCCATATACACGAATACGACATGAGTGTAAAATAATATGCCTGCTAGAAGCCTATCTAGCTCGACTCAGCCAACATAAGTTGGCAAAATCTTGTATCAACTTCTAGATTCCCATACTACATCAAATATTACTCCCTCCGTCCCTAAATTAAAAACCAATTTCTAACATTTTATAACTCACATAATCAAGAGAAATGGGACTCTAATAAAAGGACGGAGGGAGTACTAAGTTTGTAACCGTGAATCCTACAAATTAACACAATGCTACCTTCACCAAATTCGGTATACAATTAGATATAGAGTTAAATTATATAAACATACATGCTATCTTTTCAATCCCTAAAAAGAAAAGCATTAACATGGATTATTAAAACGAGATAAAAAGATATGATAATTGATCCACAAGATTTAATTTAATTAATGTAGCAACGAAAAGATAAAAGACTAGTATTGTTGAAGTAATCAAAGATTATAGAAAAGCGAATAGATAAAAGAGGAGCACAAACCAGCAAGACACAAGTAAGAAATAGCACGAAGGCGAATAAAGAAGAGACGAAGTTGCTTGGAAATTTGCATAGTACTAGTCAACAACTGAAGACGCCCAATTTGCTCCATCTTCTGAAAGAAATGCATGGATTTCAGCGATTGCCTTAACATAAAGGCCATCGAAAACGGAAACCCGAAAGCCAAAGCACTCATTACAAACAATTGAGCTGAAGAATTAGCCGTAGTAGTAGCACCAGAAGCAGCAGCATTGGTATAACAGTAGCAATAGTATGTGCCAATGCCTAAATGAGCCAGACCTAATAAAGCAAGAATTCCGGTAACATTGTACATGGTTTTGAGTAGAGATTGTGTCACTTCCCTGCTTTCGTTTGCGAGAGGCGATTCATCCTTTTCCACTGTTGGACCTTCGATCTCCTGATGCTTCGTGTTAGGGTTTGGGGTCGGAGTCGATTCGGATGAGTAGTGAAATCGTTGAGGGAGAATTGCTGTTTTCGGCGATTTGTCAAAGTTGAAATCAAGATTAAGATTGAGATGATGATGATGAAGATGAAGGAGCTTCTGCTGCTGCAATTGCGCCATTGTAGTTGCGATTGGAAGGCATGGATTAGCGAGTGAGGTTGTGGCGGCGGAGTGGAGTGGTGGCGCAGAATGACGATAGTGCCGGAGAGATGAATGGTTGTTGAGGAAGAGGGAAGTGAGATTGTGAGTCCGAGCTAATAAGCTTCTTCTGCTCATTTTTGGTGATGAAAATGAAGAGAGAGAGAGATATATGTATAATGTTAATCTATGTATGAGAGAAGAGAGGAGAATTGCAGAGGATCGGCTGAATTGAGTGCGTCAATGGTGAATTGGCTCTTATTGCACCACCACTTCACCAATACACACTGGTAATCAGATTCAAATGCTCAGGAAATCAGGAGTTGTATTTCACTTACCTTTCCCGGGTTGACCGTAACGGGATCCCTCATGAGTCCATGACTACATGACTTGGCTAAAGGTGTTCTTTCTGGTTTTTGAGTTGGAATTAGTAAAGACACGTTGGATCGGCTTTACTTCAAAATTGAAATATGTTACCAAGTAAATGAGGAAGCCCCAGTTAATCAATTTGATAAACAAAATTTGTTTATCAAATGGTAAATAAAACAACATAAATGCCCAGTCATCATGGCATTTTCGTAAATATATCAACAATAGTGGGACCCAAATTTACTAAAAAGTTGTTGATTTATTTACAATTTTACCATTTGATAAACAAATTTTGTTTATCATATTGATAAACTTGGATTTTCTCCAAGTAAATCATTTTATTCACAATATTTAAAAATTTAAATCAGACAATCGGATCAAGTTTTGATACCTCTACTTAATTGAGCAAACTAAGTGTGCATTATCAATTTGCTAGGATTGATTTGAATTTTTAGTCACCAAATCGACTTTATCTTTGAGCGACTCATGAGCTCACTAGCCACAGCCGGTGAAGCCAATATCCAATATGTATGATTAGGATTTTATTTTCATCCTTTTTTGAAGGAACATATAATTAGAGTTATAAAAAGAGCATACGGAGTAATAACCAAGAAATGACTTTTTCTTTTTCTTTTTCTTTTTTTTAGACAATATTACCAATAAATTATCAAAGATGCTAAAAAAATACTGTAACTGTACATTACGATACTTTTCTAATCAAATAGTCTTCAGAAAGTTCATGTCCCAAAAATAGTTTCGTACCTTACCAAAAAAAAAAAAAAAAAAAAAAAAAAAAAAAAAAAAAAAGTTTCTAAAATAGATAAAATGGCTGGCTATGAAGCCATTCTTCCATCCACTCTTTCCCACATCATGTTAGTCCCAAATCTCTCAAACAAGAAGCCAAACTTCCATGAAGTAACGATAAACGGGATCCAAAAACTTCTCATTTCATCCATGATCCCTCCCTCTCCCTTCTTCTCTTGTGAAATTACTTGTACTATTCAGTACAATCAACAAAAAACAAAACCATTTTACTCACTCACTCATCTGTATCCACCTCAACAACCTGCAAAGTTGTGCACAATCATATACCTGGCTTTTCAAAGTCTTCCTTTCTCTATACTGACAAAAACCTCTTTTTTCTCTTTTTTTTTTTTTTTTTTTGGTTATTATTACTAATGGAATTGAAGTCTCTCCTTTAACCCAAGCAGTCACCCCAGCTAAACAGGTTGAATATGTAAACCAGGATCTAAGTTCCACAAAAAAGCCTAAATGTAGTAATTAATTACAGCCCGCCAGGATTTCCGTCTGACTTGGCTTCAGTACGGATATAGGTGAGGCCACGCCCTGCAGTTATGTTTCCAGGAACTGAAGCCACACTCTCCACTGAGGTTTGCTGGGAATCCCGCTTCCACTGCATACTCCTCATACCTGGTTTAACAGGCGGTCGTGCTCTATATGCACCAGGAAAAACCCTTGGAAAGGGAGATTGTGCAAATCTAGGAACGGGAAAGGGAGAACCACGAGTAATACGAGGCCACGTCATCACAGGGTTGGCTTCTTGCTGGACAGAGCTTTTCTTCATAACCTGAATAGGCATATTTTACTTTTAGAGCATGTACAATTGTAATGGAGTAAAATTTAATGCTAGGCTTTGCTTCCAGTTACACATATGCATAACTGGAAAAATAACAGAAAATTGTCAGCAAATCATAGTAAATCATATCCATCCATCAAAAAAAATATACAATCATATCCACACCACTTATTTCGTGACAAGATTCTAGGTTTTGATGATTCCATCAAACTCACAGGCAAGGAAAAAATAAGAAATACACAAGGCTGCTAGAAACATCTAATAAAGGCCCCTGAATTCAGAGAGCAGGGAAACACAAAGACAACAAATGTGTGGCTGGGAAACATCACAAAAAACAAGTATCGATAAAAAAAAAAACAAAAGACGTTTTAAAAAAAGTGACAGAAAATGACCCACATGAAACAGTACTTTCTACCTATACTCAGATTAACACATAGAAAATTAGAGGAAAAGGGCGACGCCCATCCATCAACAAGCACCACCAAATTGCTACTGAACCTCAGCATTTATATTTATACAGTACCAACACATTTCCCCTATCCTACCCAATGAAAATTAAGACTGTTCTTTTTTATTATAGGAAAATTTATAAATAATAATCCCAATTTTGCTCCATTTTCTTTTAATAATCCCAACTTTGGGGGTTGTTTATTTTCTTCAATCCAATTACTGGTTACCTGTTGAACAAGTTAAATTCTTTTTTTTTTTCTTTAAATGCCACGTGTCAAGAGCCAATTAGCCAAAAAAATAAAAAAAAAAACAAAAACAAAAAATCAGAAACCCATCCCAGCTCAGCCCCACCCCTCCCTGACCACCCCAGCCCCAGCCCCACCCCTTCCCTGACCACCCCAGCCCCACCGCCACCGGAACCCTAGCCACCCTAATAATCCTCTCTCGCACCGGAAAATCCACTCCCCTCCTCCTGCTGGCCAGCCGCCCCTCCTCTTATCCCCTAGCCCCTCCCCCTTCCCCGTTGAACTACCTCCACCAATTCCCGTAACCCCCTTCCCTCAAAACACCGATGTTTTTTTAAAAAAATTTAAAATTCGTTTGGATTATTCTGATATGGGCTAAAGTTGGGACTTTTGCGGGCTGCTGTGATGTTGTTGACGGTAAGGAAGAGATGGAGTAGTTGTTGGTGATGTTCGACTTTGGTGGTGTTGTTGTAGTATGGTGATGGTGGTGACGGTTTACTTGGTGTTTGTGTGGGGAATGGGAGGGGGTTTCGGGGAGGCAGAATAGTGGTTTAGAGGGAATGGGGAGGGGCGGCGCCAGGGGTGGGGGAGGGGTGTCAGGCCGACGAGGGAGGGGGTTGGGATGGGCGGTAGAAATGTGGGTTACGGTGGCCATTTGGGGAAAGGGGAGGAGCTGGGATTTTTTTTTTTTTTTAAATAATTTTTATTTTTTATTTTTTGGACCAATCAGGACTTGACACATGTCAAGTTACCTGATATAATAAGTCATTGACTTTTGTTGACCGGTTTGGAATTGAAGAAAATAAATAACCCCCAAAGTTGGGATTATTCCAGAATAATCCAAAGTTGGGATTATTAAAAAAAAAAATGGAGCAAAGTTGGGATTATTATTTACAAATTTTCCTTTATTATAAAAAAAAAACCAGCAGATGCATCTTCAAGACCTCACGAAATAAATTTGAACCAGGCTTCTAAACCAAGTGCCTAATTTTCACACCTCATCGGCACAACTTACTACGCGTAGATCTGACAATCCACGAGCAAACCAAGACAAAACACATTCATCTAATCACTGTCACTCATATTTAATTAAGAACCACTATCTTAGCTTGATATATTTTATTTAGTTTAAAGCAATTGGTCTTTCTGAAAAGGTCTACTCTGAATCAACCTGCAAAATTAGAAATCCCCTCACCTGAACTTCACTCATCTAATCTTAGATTATATTTAACTTATCTTAATTAGGTAGTGTTTTCTTCACCTGAATTTTACTCATCTTATTGTATCTTATTAGCCCTAGACTCATGTTAAAAGAATATATTAGTCGTTATTGTATCATATCTGAACTTATAAACCTTTAAACTTCACCTAACTTATTGAACCTTATCAGACCTCATTAGAACTTATAATTGGCACTATCTTATTAGCTCTGAACTTATTTTATCATATCTAGACTTATCAGCCTACACCCACTCCTTGTCTAAATTTGTTGACCAGGACTACAGTGAGGCGGGAAAAAAAACAAACAGTGAGGAGAGCTCCTTGTAGGTAAGGACTCATCAGACTTAGCAAAAAGATGATAAATTTTGCAAGTGGAGAAGAGGACTACCGCCTGAAATGAATGCCATCTGAAGTCATGAACTGCTCCCATCAATAGTCAAGTTATAGAAATAATGATATAACCACAGACCCACAGTATCACACCAACCCCTTAATACTACACTCTTACTCTGAAATCATAGTAATTAGTCACCAAACAGCACTGGATTTGTTGGAAAATAACCCTACCTCCCCCCCCCCTTCTCTCTCTCTCTCTCTCTCTCTCTCTCTCTCTCTCTCTCTCTCTCTCTCTCTCTCTCTCTCTCTCTCTCTCTCTCTCATCAACAAAGAAAACTGGATTTATGGTGGGTGAGGGGGGGAGTACCCCCAACTTCCTAAGCATCTACACTCGTTCACTCATCTTACTTGTCAGTTGTCCTTATTTATTTCTAACATTTTACCTCCATCATCTTGCTAATTGCCATAATACAAATCAGAGAAAACATCCAATAATATCACTACCAACTTCCATTAAATCATATCAAGTGACAAAAAAGAGAGAGAGAGAGAGAGAGAGAGAGAGAGATAATACTCCCTCTATTTCAAAACACATGCCTCAGAGTATGCCAATGCAAATTTTTGACCGATGGTATCTTTAAATATAAATAAGTAAAAATTATAAAATTTGATTTCACAAATACACATTGAATCGATTCCAACAACAATTGTCCACATGATAATATATATATTAACCACTAACCTTGGCCAAATTGGATTATGTG